CGGGACCCCTGGGTCCAGGTCCTGGCCCAGGCCATGGCCCGGGCAGGTGAGTGCAGGTCCTGATGCCCCGGGGGCGGGGAGCTGCAGCGTGAGGTGAGGGCCCACATCCCCATCATCTAGTGTGGACTGCGATATCTGACGTCCAGCTGCACTTTGAACCCTCCCTGACTGGTTGGTGTGAGCAAGGTGGTCGCGGGAAGCAAGTCCTCCCTTTCCAGCCTCCCCACCTTGACAAGGCAGGATGGCAAGCGCTGGGTCAGTCGAGGCCTGCAGACCGTGACTTCGTCACGAACCCCAAATTTTCGTCCCCCCAACGCCTGGACCAAACCGCTCAGGAGGGGCTTATGTAACCTCAGCCTGGTCTCTCAGCACTGGGGAGCAGTGGGATGGAAAACGTCCTCCCTGTCTGCTGGGGTTTGCATGTGTCCATTGTGTTGGGCCAAGAAAAGAGCACAATGGGAGTGGCTGTCAGGGAAGATAAGTGTCACTGCTAGGAAAGAGAGATATGGAAATAGTTGAACCATAAACTTGGTCATGCGCTTTCTTTGGGCATTTTAGTAGCTAGGATCATCTTTACAAGAAGGAGAAATGCCCACTAGGTATCAAAAGGTACTTACTTAGACCCAACAATAAAAACAGCATTGTACACATTCACCAAGGCTTAATGGAATGCTTTGGGGTGAAGCAAAAACGCTATTGAATAATCTGGCATCAACCTGGTTTTGTTGCCTCATGACTTAGGCTACCACTTCAATCCAGTGGAAAGCGGAAGCTCATATGGAATGTCTTAAACAGAACACATCTGATCAAATACTATGCAGCAAGCTTGTTTAAAATGTATGCTAACAGAGATCCATCCTGCAAAACAATCAAATGGCAATGAGTGCAGTGGAGGGTAATGCCAATATATAATAAATCAGTAGCCTGAAAATTCAGAAAAGCTACCAAGAGATATCAGAATAAAATGGAAGTCATTATCTTTACACAAAATAAGCCTGGGGAGTATTGGAAATGGGGTGGTGCTTCTGACTGTCTTGATTTTACTGTGTGAGAGAACATAGCTATCGACAGATGATAATTTTCCCCCCTTTAGCTGCCCAAATGTGTCTCTCATGCACTTCTTTCTTCAGAAGGCATTTCTTAGACAATTAACAGTAATAAAGAGCTCTTAGTCAAGTGAAACCTGCCGCAGACAGGCTGGCCCGTGAGCATCCTTTTTAGAAGTGGGATCTGCCCATTTTACATTATCTATTACAGTAATGCAGTTGGTAACACACAGCTCTTAGTACTGCAAGCACTGTCTATTTTGCTGCATGTTGAGCTGCTGTTTGAGTTTTAGTGTGAGGGAAGCTCACCAAGGCTTTAGTGTTTTCCTTCCAAAGGCAATGAATGGAAAAACACTTCTGTATCAGGAGTTCTCTGTATGAGAATTTTCACATTTCTCTTTTTGTAATCAAACAGGCTCCTTTGCTGCTGGTTTATCTGATGTTACAGAATCAAGCATATAAAATTTGAGAGAGATATGGGCAGCTCAGAGGAACAGGAAGAAGGCTGGTGTCTACTGCTCATAGTCCCTTTTCGTGTTTATTTCCTACCCCATCTATGATTGCCACAGGGCAGACCCACAAACTGCTGTGGATGAGGGACACCATGGGATCTTGCTGAGCGGTCACAGAGCCTCTTGCCTGGTTATGAAAAAGCTTTGCACATCAACGTGTGATGCTAAAGTCCTATGACTGTCTGGTTCTGGGGGAGTGAGGGATGAACTAATCTTTTGTCAGGACTGAGGACCCTTCGGAGGTGGAGTTTACTTTTTCAATTACTGTTTAGCTTGTTAAACCACCTCAGCTGAGCAGCACCTCCGTGGTCTTTCTCTCTTTGAGCATCAGAATAGCTTCTACTTCCTCCCACCAGAGCATCTCAGGTACCTGATGCCAAATTTAGCATGTTCTGTTCTGAGATGCTGCTGAACAGATTGGCCCATTGATGGATAAAATGCCTTGTGGTATGTGCTTCTTCTGGGCATTCAGTGGGGAAAAAAAAATCACCGGCAAAGGGTCACGTTTGTTTCAAGCAATCTTGTGAATTCTGGGGCAATCAGAAACCTGTAAGAGGTAAAGTCCCAGGTAAAAGAAAGTTTATTGTATTAAACCTAGAAGGGGAACAGAACTGAGGTTCTAAGGGAGTTAGATTCTGGATGTTTCCTGTTGCAATAATAACCCTTGACACCCCAGGCAGAAGTTCTAACCTTCATGCTGAGTGGATTTGGACTCTCTAGGGAGCCGCTTCATCATTTGCCGCTGAAGAGCTTGATTCAGATCCCATGAGCAGCAGCTGTGCCACACCCTTAGTGCTGCCTTTCACCAGTTGGTGGGAATGGAGATGAGAGCATCAGAAAGCCCCTCAAAACAAGGCTTTTCATCTCAGAGTCTCCAGGTACCGTTATGTAGGCTGTGTCAGATTGGAGGAGGGCTGAATTATCTTCCAGGCTCTGCTCTCCAAGCTGTGTGCCCTAAGTAGGTTGAATCCTGGAGGAGGGATGGCTTTCATTTATTTATTCATTCGTTCACCTATTTTTTACGGCAGCATGAAGGGTTTGTTGAGAGGTTTGGAAAGTCCAGTAGCATAGTCTATAAAGAGCTGCTCTGCTTACCCCAAAACTCTACATTTCCCTGGTGGTTTGAGTCCACCAGAGACTGGTAGATTTCCTCCCAGGAAATTTACAGCTTCAGAAACCCACGATACCTTCAACTATGAGTCGGTTCTGACTCAAAACAGTGTGTGAGAGAAATGTCTAATGTACATTTAGTTAGGTGCAAAATTTGATGGAATTTTTATCCATATATACATTCGTGGCAGGGAGCTCTGGTGGCCTAGGGGTAGGAAACTGTGCTCCAATCCTGAAGGCACGCAGTTTGAGGCCACCAGCTGCTTTGCAGGAGAAGGATGGGCATCCTCCTCCCATGTGATTAACTGCCTCTGAAAACCCACCCAAGGGTCAGCTATGAGTCAATTCTGACTCGATGGTACACAACAACAGCAACAACAACAACATTTGTGGCATACCCCCAAACCAGGACAGAATTTGATCATTATCCTCAGAAAGTTCCTTTGAAAAATTGTACAAAGGAACATGTTGTTCGGTGGCAGACTCCTTAGGTCCGCATCAGCTCAGCAGACCCACACACGTTTCCCCGCTGCACACATCTTGTCATTTGCACATTTATCTTCAGTCAGCTAACTAAAGGGTATTTACCACCTGTCAAGAGCAAACTCTGGACTGGCCTTTGTGTGGAGGGCCTTGAAGAATATGTAATGCCCCTTGTCCTCAAACACCTCACAATCTGACTGGTGAGACGGTTCTAAACGGGCCAAATTATGGAGGATTCCTGGGAGAAACTCTCAACAGCTAGGTGCCTGATGAGTATCAAGTAGGTGGTGCTTATAGAGGAATTGTCACATGAGAAGACAGAAGATGCAGAACTATAATTCAGGAGAGGGAGAAGCCCATACCATTCTGGAAAAATGGTTGGGTGAGAGTTCTCTCGTGTGATTCACAGCCTCTGAAAGCCTACTGGAGGATCACCTAGGAGTTGATCCTGACGTGTCAGCAGTGAGCTTTATGAGAGACGTACAGAGTGGGAGAAATAGCACGAAGAGAGTAGTCCATATGGGCAGGGCTGCTGTAACGAGGACGGGACCTGGGAGCATGAGGCTAAAGAGAGTGGGGCAGAGTCAGATGAGGCACCTCTCTTCCCTCATCCATCCCAACTCATGATCAGCACTGAGGTCACCTTTCACACATTGTCAGTCTATACACTGCTGAGATCCATTGAGCCAAAGACAGCTGAGAGTACAAGGAACCTGATAATGTACAGCAAGATGGGGGAGGTTTCCCTAAGAACCACACACAGAGTTTTTTTATCAGAATGGATCTGTCAGGTATGTTGTTGTTGTTGTTGTTATGTGCTGTTGAGTCGCTTGCAACTCATAGCGTCCCTATGTACAACAGCCCTAAACTCTGCTGTCCTGTGCCATTCGCACTGTCTTTGACACTCACATCCCGATTATCCCAGTCACTGAATCAATCCACCTCATAGAGGCCCTTCCCCTCCTGCCCCGTCCCTCCACCCTCCCAAGCATGATGTCCTTCTCCAGGGACCAGTCTCTCCTCACAACATGTCCAAAGTATGTTAGACGGAGCCTCAGAATCCTTGCCTCCAAGGAGCCACCCAGTTTAACCCTTTCCAGGATGAATCTGTTTGTTTTCCTAGCAGTCCATGGTATAGGATATGTTAAATAATTAGTTAAGAAAAAGGAAATTATCACCACATTGGAAATAATGGTCTTTTCTAATTTAGATGTTTTGTTTGACCCCAGTGGCTGAATTTTTATGAACAGTATGCCATGAAATACATAGAAAAGTGGCTTCACATCCAAATGGTGATGATGTAAAAATTTCACTCAGAGGAGACAAACAAGTTTTCATTTCTTGCCAGAGAAAGGGACAGTTTTGATGATCTAGCCATTTCTGGCATTTAAGTAAGTAAGGGTATTAAGATGCTGTTGATTTAAAAAAAAAAGTTATAATGTATTATCCTAAGTATTGGCTAGAATGAGAAAAGCTAACTT